AATACTCCCTGTGAAAAAGACTGAGTGGCAAAAAAGAAAACTTTGTGAAGTACAGTGGCCAAATATACTCAATGTAGTTTCAGTATGTGTGAACCTCATTGTTAGTGACCATGTGGTTGTTGTGTGCTGTTGAGTCAGTTCCAACTCACAGTGACCCTGCGTAGGGTTTCGCAGGACATAAATCTTTCAGGGAGCAGAAAACCTTATCTTTCTCCCACGGAGCAGCTGGTAGGCTCAAGCTGCCAACCTGCTTATCCTACAGAGCCACAGTACTCAGTTAGTGACCATAGTAAGAAGTAACAGTACCCCTCTTCATATCTGGTAGCATATTCGTTGTTGTTGTTGTTGTGGTTAAGTATCATGGATTCAGTTCCGACTCATAGAGACCCTGTATAGGGTTTCCTAGGAGCAGCTGTTGGGTTTGAACTGTTTCCTTGTGGTTTGCCATCCAGTGGAGATCCTACAGCATCACACGAGGAAGAATATTTAGTTTGAGGTTAATTGGTCGTACGTAACCTAATGAGGATGCAAGCCACTTCCAGATATCTATTTCTTTAAGTCTAAGTTGAAGAAAATGTCATGGCAATAGTGGCACAGAAGATTAAGCATTGGACTGCAAACTGCAAGATTGGCAGATCAAACCCACCAGATGCTCTGCAGAAGAAAGATGAGGCTAATTGCTCATGTAAAGACTTATAGTCTCAGAAGCCCTAGAGAGCAATTCTCTGTCCAGAAGGGTCACTGTGAGTTGGAATTGACTCAAGGCAGAGGGTGGGGGTGCTGGAAAAAGACTTACATGACCAGGTTGGATAATGTTTAGAGGACAAGAAGTCTACTAGTAGTGAACTTCAATGCGCTCCACCTTATTGGAAGAGGATTGTTGTCATTAAGTGCCATTGAGTCAGTTCCAAATCAGAGAGACGCTGTACAGTAGTCCTGGTTTTAATTCTTCCTGGGAGCAGAAAGTCTCATCTTTTCCCCACAGAATAACTGGCAGGCTCGAACTGCAGATCGTGGGGTTCACTGTCCAGTGCTTATTGCTTGGAGACACCGCCCTCAGAAGAGGATTGTTGTTGTTGTTGTTAGGTGACATCAAGTCAGTACCAACTCATAGTGACCCTATGCACCGCAGAACGAAACACTGCCCGATCCTGGGCCAACCTCATTACTGTTGCCATGCTTTGAGGCCATCGATGCTGCCACCTGGCCAACTCATCTTGCTGGAGGGGTCTTCCTCTTTGTCTCTGACCCTCCACTTTATCAAACATGATATCCTTCTCCAGCGACTGGTCCCTTCTGGCAATATGTCCAAAGTATGAGAGACGAAGTTTGGCCATCTTGGCCTCCAAGGAGCACTCTGGCTGCACTTTGTCCAAAACGGATCTATTGGTTCTTTTGGCAGCCCACGGCACTTTCAATATTCTCCTCCAACACTATAACTCAAAAACATCAATTCTTCTATGGTCTTCCTTATTCACTGTCCAGCTTTTGCATGCATATGAGGTTATTGAAAAGATC